CTTTCTTTCTTTTTTTCAGTACTCTCATTTTTAACACTCTCTGTATTACTCCTGATTTTATTTATAATATAATAATATTATAAATAGAAGCGCTTGCACCTCTATAGTTTGTTGCTTAGACCGTTTTTTCCATGCAGTACAAGCGCTCTTTATTTATTTTCTTTTCTTTTTTAGTCGATTCCGCAGCCTAATTTTATTTATACAACAAAGAGGGACTCTTTCTAAGAGAGTCACTTTGGCGTTTAGTGTGTTCGTGGAATATAAATCAATTAAATACATTGTTTGCCGACCCAGTTGAGTCGGCTTCTCTTTCTTACATGCCGAGTGTAAATACATTAAATGTTTAAATAAGAAGAAACAACCCACGTTTACATTATTCTAATGGTTTATTGATCAAATGGGGGAGGTGCTTCGTTTGCATTTTAATAATAATTAGATAAAAAGATTGATGTTAAGGTTTTTATCTTAACGCCTCTGACTTTTTTGAAATGTAATTTTGAATTAAGTCGCCAATTTTATATTATTGAGAATATAACACATCAATTGACTATTTTTTATCATATGGAAAACACAACTTTTTGTTGTTTTTATTGTCAATTTAATAATGACAGTTGTTGATAAATAAATTTTGATTTTTTGTTTGCTTTAATATGTTTGTTGTTACTAATATGACAGCGAGTATCAATCAGAAGCTTTTAATATAAAAGCTTAGATTGTTTGGCATAACCCCATTTGTTAAATTAATTATAGTCAGTAATAAATAACAATTTAATCGCTTTGATTTACCATATTTAATTGTTGTGTTTGATTATTTAATTCTTGCTTTTTATATTGTTTTTTACTATTTTAATATCATTTTTTTATAATTAAAATAATAATCTATTAATACAATGTTGAAATTCAAACAAATTGGATCTTTGTGTGATATTTCTTGACTTCTTTGTTGGTTTTGTAGTGTATTCAAGGGATGTCATTTGTTTTATTTTATTTTTTGGTTTAAGTATACAATTATTAACTAAAATGTATTGTGATATTTTTATTTCATAAAATATATCGATACAACGCCACACTGTCTCTATTTTCATTAATATTTAATTGTGTGAATTGTATTTTTATATGAATACAATAATCAATGCATTTTTTAAGTTTAAATAAAAGGTACTAAATAAATTAAAATAAAATTTGTTTTGATAAAAATTATTTATATTAA